AATAAATAAATAAATAAATCTCCAATGGCATATTGTTCAAGTTCTTCCATTTGAGTGTTTGTGGATTTGGGGCTCTGAATGCCATTAAGAGTTTGCGCTTAAAGTTGAACTTGGCATTGGCACACAGTATCAAGGTTGCACAGTCTTTGAATGATTTAAAGCCAGGGGTTTTGGAGGCCGTTTCTGTTATGTAGGTTCATTTGCTAACGTGCTTGTAAAACAAATCAGTTTCGCCAGCATTGAAAACTTGCTTTTCCACATAATCCTTTCCCTGCATAACACTTACAGGATATTTTTAAAATTCTTGCACATCCTCCTGATCTGCGGAATCTGCCTCATCTGCAAGTTTCACATTTTTCATGCTGTATCACCTTTTGAAATGCGCGAGCCAGCCAGCAATAGCCTGACCCTGGATAACATGAACATAAACTACTTTGACTTTCAGACTCAGAATAATGTTGTCTGCCACACTTTTTTTAAAAAAAATTCGCCATAGTTTCAGGAATTTGCCAATGTAGCCACTTTTCTATCTTTTTCCATAGTTTCATCATGCACTATAGATGTTTATAAGTTTAATAACATATATATGCCGCCCAATCCCGTAGGATGGCCAACTTGTAAAATGTGGTGACACTCACTTAACAACGCTCTTGCTTAGCAACCAAAATGTTGGCTCAGGAACTCTGGCATTTGAAGCACGCAAGTCTTAAAGCTGTCAAGTTACAAGACCCTCGCACCCCTAACCCGTTAGAAAAAAAAACCAGGCGTGTTCAAACTTGACAGCTTTAAGACTTGTGGACTTCAACTCCCAGAATTCCTCCTCCACTCATGTTGCCTCAGAACTCTGGCATTGAAGTGTGCAAGTCTTAAAGCTTTTTTTTGGCATAAGTAGCATAAACAAAACAAGTTCTCCTAAAATATTTAATTGAAACATGTTGTTGTAATTTAATTGCTACAGTATATGTTGTAGTAATGTTAATCCATTAGCTTTAATTTTATTTTAGATTCAGACATGATTGATGTTATTAGCTTATGCATGTGAACTCTTTTGAGTGCCTGTTGGTGGAAAAGGAAGCCTACTTGGTATAAATACATGCATAATTGATTACTGTTCTCATTTTTATACTAAATAATAACAGTAATCATCAATCTCTCCATATTTATACAGCTTCCATTCCAAGGTGCACAATCAGGTAAACCATTAAAATAATATGTCTTTATCTGAACGTTATACATTACTAATTAAATAATTAGAAATAATATATTTTTAGAAACTGATTTAAATAATTTCAGCGATTGTAGGCACTTTTTTTTGAATGGCTGTCCTAGATATTTTACTTAAAGTCAGATTCTGATGCTAAAAAAGAAAAAGCACACTCCTTTTAAATCAGAACATTTTTAATGCTCAGAACCGAGCAATTACAATTACATATAGTGATTGTTGAGCAGCATGGACTTGGAAATCTAAATTAGAAACAAACAAATCAAGAATAAAGTGTTCAACATTTAGCTGATTTCTTGTAACATAAGTAATTTGATAATGTACTTCCAATATTATAATAATTATTTTTTGAGATTTAGATTTGATTTAGTATTCCTAATAACCCATAATCATTATTGTTCCAGTCTAATAATATTTTAAAGATAGGGAGTGTATGAGCTAGCCTATGGCAAGTTGGGCAGCCAATAAATAAATGTAATAAATAAATAGGTAAAGAAAATTATCGATAAACTGGAAATGTATCCTTGTTTTCAGATACAAAAGATGTCACCAATCCATCTTGTTTTAGGTCTCTTTTGTGAATGCTTTTTATCAAGTGGGATCCATTCTATGACTCCCTTGGTCAACCTGCCTTCAGTTCTTCTTGCTATTTCCATTTCAATTATTTTACTCTCTTGATGATATCGTATTTTTCTCCTCATCCCAGCAATCCCCCACTTGACCAGTTCGTCTTCAGCCAATGGAGTGCTGCATAGGTGTTTTGAGATAAGTTGCTATTCTTAAAAAAGAAGATAAACTAAAATTACAATAGCAAAAAAGTCCAACAACAATACAACAATATAACAATATAACACAGGATAAATGTTGTCTCTTAGTTATAACAGCAAATGAGGAACCAGGAATTTATAGCACTATCAATCAGATATCAATACCAGGTAATATTCATGTATTATTCATCAATTTTGTTAATAACTGGGGTAGAAATTAAATGCATAGTATAGAATGGAAGAATACACAGCTTAGTAAAAATAATTGGGGAAAAGATTTTTGAATAATAGTCGATTAGAAATTGAATGGCAGTCAACAATGTAAAATGTGTCTCCAAAATGCAAATACAGATTTAGTCTGAAAAATTTCTGAATCACAGGAAATAATGTTTCCATTTCATTGGTAATGATCAAGATAAGAGCAATTAGAACAGGTTCAGAGAAGGCAGGTGAAAGGGAGCAGGGGATTAGAAAAGTAAATCCTGTAAAAATGATGAGGAAATGGGGAGGGAACTCTTCCAGTATCTGAAAGGATGTGTCATGGGTGGGGATGGGGGTGGGGTGGGGTGGAGAAGGCCTGGTCTGTGTTCTCTTAAAGACGAAGACATGGAATAATAAATGTAACTTACAGAAGGGCAGATGTTGGTTGAATGGTAAAAAAAAAAACATTTGCAATAGTAAGAACAGGACAGAAATGGAGGGAAGCACCTTGGGAGGTTTAAGAATTCCCCTTTCCTGGGTGTGTCAAAGAAAGGTTGTTGGAGATGCTTTAGTTTGGATTCCTGCATAAATTTGATTTGATTTGATTATATTTATATGCCGCCCTTTTCCCCCGAAGGGGACTCAGGGCGGCTTACAATTCAAATCAGGGAAGGAGGGTACAGACAGAAAATAAAAAGACAAAACATAACAATACATAATTTAAAAACACACAACAGTCATACCATTCGAGACGGGGGCAACAGCTCTTTAGCCCCAGGCCTGTCGGAATAGCCAGGTTTTAAGGGCTTTGCGGAAGGCCTGGAGGGTGGTGAGGGTCCGAATCTCCACGGGGAGTTCGTTCCAGAGGGTCGGAGCAGCCACAGAGAAGGCTCTCCTCCGGGTAGTCGCCAGTCGGCACTGGCCGGTGGATGGAATTCGGAGGAGGCCTAATCTGTGGGATCTAATCGGTCTAGTGGAGGTGATTGGCAGCAGGCGGTCTCTCAAGTACCCAGGTCCAATACCATGAAGGGCTTTATAAGTGACGACTAGCGCCTTGAAGCGTATCCGGAGACCAATAGGCAGCCAGTGCAGCTCGCGGGGGATAGGTGTTACGTGGGTGAACCGAGGTGCACCCACGATCGCTCGCGCGGCTGCATTCTGGACAAGCTGAAGTCTCCGAATGCTCTTCAAGGGCTGCCCCATGTAGAGCACGTAGACCAAGATGTTCCACCAATTACCCAAATCACCCTTCTCTGACTCATAGGGAAAGAATTCCATAAAGACTGCAATACTAGGGATTTCATTTTACCCTCTCTACTTCAGCATCAGTTTCAAAGTTTCAAAACTTAATAGCATTTGTATGCCACCCAATCCCGAAGGACTCCGGGCGGCTAACAATACAATAAATCAAAAAGAAGAGAAGAAAAAAAAGATGGATTTAAAAACACACCATGCACTCCATTCCAAGTGGGGCTGGACCATATTTTGGGGTCAACAGCCCCAGGCCTGCCGGAACAGCCAGGTTTTAGTGGCCTTATGGAAGGCCGAGAGGGTGGGAAGGGTCGGGATCTCCCCCCCTCTTCCAGGCCTTTTTTCCCCTTTTATCTTTCTAAACTCTTTCTCCCCAAGAAGCCTTTTCCCTCAGGTAAGTGAGCTATGAGACAGGGAGGAGTGGGATGAATTGAAATCTGTACATTGTACCAGAAATGATTGGGGATCAGGAAGCTCTTAGCTGTACAAATACTGTTTTGGAAAAATAAACAATATTTATTTCAACCCCCTGATTCTTATGTTAGTCACTAAAACATACATGTAGCTCAGTTGCGCATATTTATTCTCAGAAGATGCTTTAAATAAATTGGAACTGACATTCAGAGGGATTTTGTTGTCCCCATTACATTTTCTGAACTTTCTGAAATGTGATAAGCCCAGATACTGTATGCCTAAAAGAAACTTATGAGAAAATATTTTTTCAAAACATTTTCCAATAATTTGACAGACTATCTTCTATGTTTCGGAGGTTAATTGCAATTGTAGATGGCTAGCCTCACCGTTGCATACTTACCTGGGAATTAATCCTGTTAATTTCAGCGAGATCTGTTTGTAAGTAAACATTCAAAATAGATGGTTGTGATTTTGGAAAAAAAAAAAAAAGGAATATCTAGTCTGTTGAGAAGTATCTGTTGCCCCCCAAATTTGTCTTAACCAATGAAAATATTTGATCATTCTTAATATTTATATGTACATAATCTGCAATGATTTGGTAGGGTGGCTCATATATGTTAACTCTGAATTGTCATACAACAATATGATTTTTAAAATGTGCTTGCGTAGGATATTTCAGCTAGCGTTTACAATCCCTGGCTGAGCTCTTTTAACTAATTTAGAGTATTTGTATCTATAGCAGTGAGCCCCTCTTTATTATAATAAACTAGTGCACCTTTTACTAGATGCGTATCCAGTATGTGATTTCCCCCCCTCCAGATCAGAGCATCGGTGATACATGATCTCATACGATATATTTTTGCTTATAATTAGTGATGTTTCTTTTATCAAACAAAGAGCGAAAATAAAGGGAAGGTGCTAAAAAGAAAGAAACCTTTTTCACAGAGGGAAAGACGAGGGTAGCAGTGCACTCCGTAAAATTAAAAATGTAATTAAAACTTGTCCATCTAAAATTGCATTTCACACGACATGTTGCCTGTGTATGCAGTTTTTTACTTGATGTGCAAAAGAAATCCAACTGCTGGCTTTTCTGAGATTTAGGGCCTGATCACTTTCGGTTTGATGTAATTAAAATGCCTATCAGGCGCTCAGGACCCTGCTTTCAAGAACCTGCTTTCACTGAGGGGAGCGCAGTCTCCTTTTGTAAAGGAATGAGGGCTGAACTGGCATCCTCGCCTTCCTTCTGGAAATTTCTGCAGCCAGCAAGTCCCGTCTGGGTCTTCCATGCGGCCTCTTCTCCATTTCATCCCTGCGGGGACTTCATCTGATGCGCGGTTTTCTTTCCCTCCGACATATATATACGGAAGCTACACGCTGGTGGTTAACAGACTGTGTCTGTCTGGAAATAGACCGCAGTCTCACGGTTGTTAATGCGCGCATTGGGAGAATAATTAAGCTGCAGTTACTTAAATGCCTTTGTGGCATTTCAACACAGAAGCTGGTAATGTTTTTTACTCCCGTTATTTCACCATGAGCTTTGAGTGCATCCCTTTGGAAAAACACCTGCAATATGCTGCTTTACTGGAGTCCTTCCTCTTGTTAAGACTCTCTGCAAACAGCATCCATTGGTTCAGAATCTTTTTTGTAAAGCAAGGAGTGGATGCATCTTTATATTACATGGAGTCTTTTTTTATGGCTGGAAAGGGCTTGGTAGATTTTTGCAGGCATTGTGGATGATTGTTGTTTTGTTGTGGGGTGTTTTTTTTGGGGGGGGGTTGGTTTAAATAAATGGGATGCATGTTCAGATGTGGAACAAAAGGAAAGACCTTTTCAAGGCAGCAATTTTAATTGGGGTGTGTGTGTTCTTTTGCAGGCTTCCCAGCTTTTTCTTTCTAACGTGACGTCATCCTTGGAGCTTGATTTGGTCACAAACGAACGGTAAGGTATGTCATACTTTTCGCCAGTTCACATTCATGCTGGGATATGGGTGATTGATTTGCAGGTGACCTTTTGCACCTGATTTTTCATTCTTTCTGTGGAGCAGTTCTGTGCTTTCCTTGGATGCTCTGCTATAGTCCTGGAGTGCCTTTAAGAGTCCTTAGTGATAGCTGCATTCTGAAAAGCCATTCCAGGCATCATAACAAATGTAATTATTTCAGTTCTTGGAACTGTGATGAAACACAACCATGCTTTACTGATTCACTAATCAGAACCACCAGATAGAATAGAATGAAACTCCCCTTTTTGTTTTTTTGCTTATGTTCTGAGTCACCAAAAAGAAATTAAGGGGTACAATATTTTTTATAAATATCAAGGTGATTCATATCAATGAATACATAAGATGTTACATATCATATGCATTCATCATATATGCTTATTCTGTTCAGCAACATTTCCAGAAAAGACATTTTTTAAAAATTTGCTTTGACCTGTTTATAACAGAAAGATGTCTATATCCATTTCATTGAATGCTATAGATTGGTTTTATAAATATACAGTTATACGAGAAACAACACATAACGACGTTTTGTTAATTTTCATTCTTGAAGTCATTCCATAAAGGTTTATATTTAAACGTTTGTATTAAAGCTGCAGAACTTTTTTTCCTGGGCATCCACAGGGGACACACATTCATCAAGATTTCATTCATGTTGCAACCATTTGCATGATAGATTGAAAAAAAGCATAGATGGCTTTTATTTTTATTTTTTTATAATAATAAAAGCATTTTGCAAATGTTTTTGGGTGGGTTTCATTAGGCTGGACTATTGTTGTTTATTAAAGACATGTCACCTGGATACAATTGCTAGNGCAAGGCCACATGGAGCAAAGAGTCAAAACAGAGCTTCAGAATTTAAATTGACCAGCATGAACAAAGTTGCTTCCTGCAAAAAGCTCATGTGCCTTTGCTCCTCTTTTATGTCCTATGGGAGGGGTCAATCACCTCCAAGCCTTACTCCCGAGTTGTCCCTTTTGTCTTAACTGTTCTTGCCTTCTGGCAGCTCTGTGCATGCGCGCACTGGGAATAGGCTCCCACTGTTCCTCTGCCTGGCTGATATCCAACTGTGGAGGCTCCTGAGGCAGCACATAACTCTTAGATGGCCCTAGCCCTCTCTCTGCCTGTGACGCAGAGGCCTTGCCCGAGCCTTCCCCAGACTCCAGGACTTGCCCATGTTCTTCCCCAACCTCCTCACTGTCTGACTCCGCAGGCTGCTGGCGAACCACAACAGTCTGCACAATCTTATCATTTCCCAGCCATCTCTAAACTAAAAAGGTTTAGTTTATGGTGTCCAATGAGTTTGGCTTCTTTTTAATTGACATATTTATTTACTTCTCTGTAAAGATGGTTTGGCTTACTAATTGCGGTATCCTTTTTCCTTCAAAGAAGTGGGCTGAATATCATACATTTTTTTCCCCCCTGCAGGTTGCTCTTGTAACTATCTGGGTACTGTGCAGAACAAATGCTCCTCGCAAGACCAGTGCCAATGTGACCGGCACAGTGGGCAGTGCCAGTGCCTACCCAATGTCCAAGGACAGAACTGCGACCGTTGTGCCCCCAACTTCTGGAACTTAACCAGTGGGCAGGGCTGCCAACCCTGCGATTGCCATTCCTATTACTCACTGAGCCCCGCTTGTAATCAGGTCAGTCTGAGCTCTGGGTGGACAGGCATAGGCATCTTGATCAATGTTGTGCTGAAAACTGGAGAGCTTCCGGTGTAGAAGAACAGTGTGGGACACAACCAGAAGTGGCATTCAGCCGGTTCGGACCGGTTCACCCAAACTGTTAGTGGAAATCGCGAGTGGGCCTGCCCACCCGCCCGACTCTATGCTATTTAGGCAGGTTTTCAAACCTCGCGCAAGCGTGCAAGCCCGCTTGTGCGATTTAAGCNAGTCAACCCTGAGCCGGTGAGATTTGAACCGCTGAACTGCTGATCTAGCAGTAGCCTGCAGTGCTGCATTTAACCACTGCGCCACCTCGGTTCTCTCCTCGGAGGAGAGAAGAGAAAAGGGAAAATAGAACAGAATAGAATAAAATAGAAAAGAGAACAAAAATATAGACTAGAACAGAACAGGACAGGAAGGGACCTTGGAGGTCTTCTAGTCCAGCCCACTTCTCAAGCAGGAGAACCTATACCATTTCAGATAAGTGACTGTCTTGTGATGGCAAACCTATGCCACCCGTGCCAGAGGTGGCTCTATGGGCACACATGCTGTCACAAGCTGCCCTTCTGGTTTTTGGTGTGCACATAACATGCCGGCCAGCTGGTCTTCGTGGGCACCAGAGCACTGGAAAACGGCCTGAAAACAGCCCGAAAAGCAATTCATTTTCGGGCCGTTTTTCAGGCTGTTTTTGGACTGTTTCCAAGCCATTTTGGGGCTGTTTTCGGCATTCCAGCCAGCTGGTCTTTGTGGGCACCAGAGCACTGGAAAACGGCCTGAAAATGGCCAAAACCAGGCCATTTTTGGACCATTTTCATGGCTGTTTTCAGGCCATTTCCAGGGCTGTTGTCTAACTTCCAGTGAAGGAGCACCCACAATTTCTGAAGAGCAGCTGAAGGCTAATTCTCCCACAACAGCAGCCAGATGATCCTGGCCACCTCCTGCTCTTAAATCCCATCCCTAGGAGACGACCTCAGGAAAGCACTCCTCCTAAGGAAGGACTTTAGCATCTAGATGTCTCGCACCAGCCATCCAAACAAGGCCAGTTGTGGCGTGGGTGCAGAAACCGTGCCATGTTACCCTCTCTCTGCCCAGTGCACCGATGCCCTCTGTCCAAGATCAGGAGCTGGAAACAGGAGGTGAAACGGAGACGTTTTCCTTACTCAGCACCGAAGATTGCCACGCCGAGAGTCCGTTCAGGGCATGATTTACAAGGCTGATTGCTGATTAGATTGTTCTGTCCAGTTGTGCAATAAATAAAAACTGCTTACTCTCCTAAGGGGAGTCATGCGGGTGTGCATGCAGGGGTGGGGGTGGTGGGGGTCTGACCTGCGGCACGATGCATCTTCGTAGCCCTGGGAGATTTATTGCTTGTTCGAGAACTTCACCGGACTCCTTTAAATGAGTCCCGTTTGGCCTTCCTTCAACTGGCAGTCCATTATCTTCTCTGGCAGCTGTTGAGAGCCTTGTTGACTTGGCTTCATCATCTAAGGGCTCTTGGCCTGTGGAAACCTCTTTGGCCAATGCCCCACGAAATCTCCTTGGGGTGTTTGAAACTGGACTGGAGGTCACCCCTTTACTGCGGGTCGTCCTCGACTTACGACCACAGTTGAGCCCCTCCCCCTCCCCAAATTCTTCTTGCGAAGTGAGACACTTGCTGGGTGAGTTTTGCCCCATTTTACGACTTCTCTTACCACCGTTGTTACGCGAATCACTGTGGCGGTTAAGAAGTCAATAACCCCAGTTGTTAACTGAATCTGGCTTCCCTATTGACTCATCAGAAGGTCGCAAGAGGGGACATTGCAACGGTCATAAAGAGGAGTCCGTTGCCACGCGGTTTACAGAGTCAGCATATCGCCCCCACAGTCTGGGTCCTCATTTCACCCACCTCGGAAGGATGGAAGGCTGAGTCAACCTTGAGCCAGTGAGATTTGAACCGCTGAACTGCAGAAAACAGTCAGCTGAAGTGGCTGCAGTACAGCACCCTAACCATTGTGCCACCTCGGCTGGGAGAACTGATTCAGGGGCATGGCAGGCATGGG